TATCATTTGCTCTCCAGCATCCTTTCTATCACTAAGGCAATATTTTCCAACTACCAGTCCTCTTGATTACATGCTTGATCAATTTCAGACTGTAGAAGTTAGTAAAAATCTTCAATTTCTTCATCTTTAGCATTAGTAGTTGATGTAAAATTAAATAATATTCATATTAACCAGTCTTCCTTGTAGATGTGTGGCTATTATCCTATAACTGACAGTGTTGTACTTCAGGATGTGTTCTTTTTGATGATGAATGTGATGCCATCCCTCTTCCATTTGTTTTTCCTAGCATATTAGACCATATGATTGTCTGATTCAAAATAGCCAATACCAGTCCACTTCAGCTCACTAATGGACATCAATAGGATATTGATTTTTATGTGTTCTATTTTGTTTTTGATGATTTCCAATTTTCTTAGATTCATATTTCATACATTTCACATTCAGATTATTAATGGATGTTGGCAGCCATTTCTTCTCATTTTGGGTCATGCCACATCAGCAAATAAAAGTCTCAAAAACTTTATTTCATCTGTGCCATGAAGGACTGACTCTACTTTTGAGGAGAAAGCTCTTCCTGTGGTGGTTAAGTTTGTGTGTCCACTTGGCTGGGCCTGGTTGAGTGGCTGGGCAGCTGAATGTAGTTATTCCCCGTGGTGAGATTAGTAATTAAGTCCATTGTGGAATCTATTAGAGCACCTGAGTAGCTGCTTTGGGTATTTGGTCTGCTTCCCATATATAAGAAACAGCTTTGGGAATGGTCTCTAGCTTATGGCACACTTGAACCCTGCATGTAGCTGTGTCATTGTGCAGCAGCCTGCCATGCTCTGCCAACCTTGGCACTTTCAATGGACTTGAATTAATGGCCTGTTGTGTGGGTTGGTAACATTGGGACGGTGCCTTTGTCAGCCTCAGCAGCTGGCAGCCGAGTGAAGAAAAGCCTCTGGCTTCAGTCGGCCAGGAGCAGGAGGCAGAGCTGAAGGCCAAGGTTGAGGGGCTTTCACCCAGCCCCTAGAGACTGGAACTTTGAACTCAGACTTAAAGCCTCCAAACTGCAAGAGAATAAACTCCTGTTTCTTTAAGCCATCCCATTTGTGGTATATTTTTGTCAGAGTGGTACTAGGTAACCAAAACACTTCCCTAATCTTTTTTTTTTTTTTTTAAGTTTTTATTGTGATTTGGGTGCAATTTTACAAAGCAGATTCATTTCACATTCAACAGTTCATACACCTCTTGTTCCATGACACTGACAATAACTTTCACAATATAATAGCTCTCCGTCCACCTCCTCTCTGTGGTTACTCCTTCCTGTGTCTTTTATACCTACCGGTTCCTGACAGCCCAGCTTTCTCCCTATGCAAATGCTGCTTTTCTGATCTCCCATGACTGATTGTTCTAAGGAGTGTGTCTCACTGGTGTGAGTCAGCTCATAGGCCTGTCTATTGTTTGGCTGAGTTGAACCACTGGAATGAGTCCAATTCCAGGCCAGAAGAGTGACTCGGTGCCATAGTCTCAAGGGTTTCACTAATCTCTATCTGACCAGTAATCCTATTTTTTTCTTCATGTTTTTTAATTTGGTTCCACATTTTTTTCTCCCACTTTATCCAGGATCTCCAATTTTGATCTATTTCCAAGGGGCTAGCATTGATAGCTGGGGACCATCTAGTACTTCTGGTCTCAGGGTCATGTAGGCTGAGGTTCCCATGGTTCACTGGTCCTTTGGACAAATTGTTTCTGTACATCTTTGATTTTCTTCACTCTTCTTTGCTCTGGACAAGGAGAGACCAATAATAGTTGCATCTAGATGGCCACATGCAAGCTTTTAAGGCCCCAGTTGCTACTCACCAAAGTAGGGTGTAGAACAACGTTTTTGTGCACTATGCTGTGCCAATTGAGCTTGTTGTGCCCGTGACCATGTTGCTGAGCCTGCAGGCCCAGTGAGTCCTTCCCTCAACCTAATTGTATTTTTAGTGTCTTGTAGCCCGAGGGGCTCATCTTCTGGCACTATCTCAGACAATGTTCTGCTCTTATTCATAAAATTTTCACTGGCCAGGTTTTTAAATAACTAGATTGTCAGGTCCTTTTCCCCAGTTTGTCTTAGTGTGGAAGCTCTGCTGAAACCTGTGCACTGTGGGTGACCCTGCTAGTATTTGAAATAGTACAGGTGGCATAGTTTTAAGCACCACTAACTGGTTGTAAAATCTTGGATATTTACTTAACTTCTCTCTGCTATGATTGCTTCATCTGTAAAATGTGAGTAATAGCATTAACTCTTGGGATTGTTTAAAAAGACCAACCTACTGCCATTGAGTTGATTCTGACTCATAGTGACACCCATTGGGTTTCCAAGGCTGTAAATCTTTATGGAAACAGATTGTGTCATCTTCCTCCCAGGGAGCAGCCGGTGGGCTTCGACCACCAACCTGGTTAGCATCCAAATGCCTTACCCACTATGCTACCAGAGCTCATTTAGGATTTTTAAGAGAATCTAATTAGTTCATTCATTTAAAGCACTTAGAATAGTGCCCAACACACAGCAAACATTGTACCCATGTAGGTGAATGGGATTATCTGGGGAGTGAATGCAAAGTGGGCAAGGTGTTGGGCAGAAGGAAACCAATAATGGGAGCATAAGCATTGGATAGGGGGTCCATATGGGAGACAGAGAAGAAACTATTGAGATGGTAGAGAAAAAACTAGAAGAGGTAAAGTCCCTAAAACTAAGGGAGTTGAGTTTCAAGTAGGAAAGGGTGTTCGAGTGTCTACTGGTATGTCTGGCTTACTTGGTTTTGAATCTGAACCTTCACCAAGCCTCCTTTTGGGTATCTTGATTTGGGAGAGTCTGCTGGCTCCTGATGATGTCACTTCCACTCATGCCCACATTTGGCCCAGCCCACCTCAAAGCCAAATCATGGGCCACTCTTCTCCTGGCTCCCTCCCTCCCTTCTCCTCAGTCCTATTTTGTCCACTGTTGACGTTGTGAGATAAACCTATTTTTAATTTAAAAAACATCAGATTGGTGACTTTTCTTTCCTCAGGTCATTTTTTTTTTTTACTATTGGTATGTATTGTTCTCCAAACTCTGAATTTAAAAATTAGAGATGGTTAGTTTATGTTCAAGATTCTTTTACTAACAAAAGAGTTCATCTTTTGCTAACTGAACTTTGACTATTAGATAAACCATTAGGGAAACTGACAACTTTTTACAATGGGAAATGAAGACAATAGATCTCCATGAAGGAAAAACAACGCGATCTGGGTGATTTCTTCATTTTTTTTTGTTACTTCTAGACCTTGTCTCGCCAATCATCAGATGTATGTCATAGGACACACAAGAGCTATGGTTCTTAGCTCTGCAAAGAAAAATCCTGTACACTTTGCTTTTAAGTTGATTTTATTTCTTCAAGAATTTTCTTACAAAGTGAATTGACCTTGTACAGTTAACCTGATGTAATCTTAAGAAAATATATGAAGTATGCTTTAGAAAAAATGACACAGGGACTAACCAGCCATTTCACTGGCAATCATATTCCACAGCTTTTGTCCTTTTGGGATGGGGTTATTTTTACTAATGAATTGTTAAATCTATGTACAAGAGATCCAAAACTCTTGCTGACCTCCCTCTGCAGCTCCAGCTGGTATTGGGAGACAGCACAAGGCAGGTGGGGGGTCTTGTTCCAAGGCTTCAGGCTGCTTGGTCATCAGAAGTATCACCCCCAGAAGATCTGGCTGAGGCCCAGGCAGTCCACACACACAAACCTTGCAGTTACTTCCACAATAGCAGCATCTGTGGAATGCATAACCCATTGTCATCAAGTCAGGGCTGATGCATGGTGATCCCAGGTGTTACAGGGTAGAACGACTCTATAGGGGTTTCTTGGCTGTATTCTTCATAGAAGCAGGTTGCCAGGCTTTTCTTGTGTGGTGGGTTCAAACTGCCAACCTTTAGGTTAATCGTCCAGTGCAAACCATATGTGCCATAGGAAGGGCTCAAATGCATCCTATGGAGGAAGAGGGATTGTTCACTTGTCCCCATTGCAGTCAGAGTCCTTTGAGAACATGGACACAGCAGCTGGAGCACCTTCCACCCCAGGGCTCACATTTCCATGTCTTTATCCAGCAGCCCTAGTAGTTAGTCACCATTCTCAGGACACAGGGGCTACTTTCCAGCCCTCAATTCAACATGTGAGCATCTGATAGGCTTTCAATCCAGAAATTGTGGATTTAGAAGGAATAGCTACTCCATTGCTCTGGGGCTCTGCTCAATGGCCTAGCTCAAGTGCAGGATTGATTTTGAAGAAGTAAATACTGTCCTGTGTTCATTCAGTCAAGCGAATGTGAACAGGCTTCTATAGGGACTACAGAGACTGACACCAGGCTATTTTTTGGACTGTGTTTTTCTCAATCAAGCCTCATAAACCTGACCCCTTAAAAGCCAATAAACTTGGAGACAGGAATGGGTTTCCTAGATGTAGCAGCTGAGTTTCTGTCCTCAATCCTCCTCACATTGGTTTTGGGACAACTAAGAACCCCTAAAGGTTCCGATGTAGAGCTCAAAGAGGAGAGATGGTCCTGGGGCGGGGGGTATCTCTGTCATTTCCTTCTTTCTAGAAGGTTCACTTTCACAAGACACCAGCTGGTCCCAAGGTGCCTTTCCTAGAAGGACAGGTGGTGTCCAGACCTGGAGACGGCCTGGCTGGTATAGAAAAAAGGTGGCAGGAGAGGGTGCAGGTGGCAGCCTGGGGACCTTCAGAGGCCATGTCCCTGGAACTGGTCCCCGCATTCACTCAGGTAGGGCCTCTGGATGAGTTCCCAGAGTTGTTGGGAACAGAGGCCCAGGGAAGGGGCTCCTAAGTCAGAGCAATGCTAAACAGAGCTTTTTGGGAAACTTTAGGGCCTCCAGGATGCTGGGCAGCTTCAAATCCAAGAGTCACTTTGGGACATGGGAAGGCAGCCCTGGGGTGGGTGGAGAGAAGGCGAAGGTGGGATGAGGGTGGGGCAGCGGGTATGAAGCTCAGTCCTCAGTCTTTTTGTCTCCATGGGTGATCTCACTCTGAACTTGGAGAGGCTGCAGAGTCCCCATCCTCAGGGTCCTGCCCATGCGGGGAGATGGGCTGACCCCCTTTCACACGCTTCCATTTCATCCTCCGGTTCTGGAACCACACTTTGACCTAGGAATGGAAGCAAAGGGGCCCAGTCACTCCAGGGCTAGTGCGACCCCCTCCCCTTGTCACAAGGGCGCAGTTCCAGAGGTCCCAGCTGTAAAATCATCACTTGGCCCTCTCTACTCCCCAAAGGCCCAGGAAGTGAGCACCAAAGGGAGCACACTCAAATCGGTCCAGAGGCTTGTCTCCTGGTCTCCAGAGAAAGCCAGGTCCCAGATGTTGTTGTTGTTATGTGCTGTCGAGTCAAACCCGACTCATAGAGACCCCTCCTTGGGTTTCCAAGGTGTTATCACTATGGAAGTAGATTGCCCAAACTTCCTTCTGAGGAGTGGCTGGTGGGTTTGAACCACCAGCCTTCTGGTTAGCAGTCAAGTGCCTTAGGCACTACGCCACCAGAGATAGTCAGGGAGAAAGGTTCTAAACGTCATTCTCCATTGGCTTTACCCATTTCACGTGCCCCGCTCCTTCCATGCCAACACCCCCTCCCTCCACTTCCCATCACCCAGGCACCTGGGGGCACTTTTGCCATTGTTGTGTTGTGTTGAGTTGATTCTGACTCATAATCGATTTCACAGGACAGAGTTGAACTGCCCATAGGGTTTCCTTTAGACCCATGGTATAAAGGAAATATTAAGTATTTTCCATTTAACTAACTCTGGTCTGGACATGTCTGAGCTCCAGTATTGCCTGCAGGCTGGAATTATGACAGGTCCAGAGCTAGAAAGTGGTAGAGGCAGGCTTTGAATCAGTTTTATTCTAACTGCAGGACTCTGGGGAAGTGCTTTAGAAACTGAAAGTTGCTAGCAATGTCAGAGCTTGAAACAAAGGGTCCTCAAAGTGTGTCCAGGAACCATCTGCACATCTGAGTGCAGATTCCCAGCCCCACGCAATCTAACTGCAGGATTGCCCTCTAGAGCTGGGGCTCCAAAACCTGCATTTCAAACAAGTGCCTCGGCTGATTCTAATGCACACGCAAGTTTGGGAATAATCATACCAGTTCGAGGCTGACTGCACATGGTGGGGGGTCCTTTGGGAAACTCTGATGGGTGGATCCTACCCCAGAGCAGTGAACGACTTCTAGGGGTGGAGCCTGGGCACTGGTGTTATTAATATCTCCCAGATGACTCTCGCCTCTGGACACAGTCGAGAACCACTGGACCGTGGAGAGGGGCATAATGAAAGGTTCTGCAGGGTGGTGGGAAAGAGGAGAGGAAGGAAGGGAAGGAACAGAGGAAAGGAAAGATGGCGGAGAAGAGCTGATCCTGCCTGGGCCGCACCTGCCGCTCAGAGAGGTCCAGGTTCACCGCGATCTCGTATCTCCGGAGCCTCGTCAGGTAGTTGTGGTGCGCAAACTCGGCCTCCAGCTCCCGCAGCTGCTCTTTGGTGAAGGCTGTCCGCTCCTTGCGGGCCTTGCTGCCACCCTCCAATTTCCCTCGGTTCTCCTGGTTGTCTGGGGAGAGAGGGCCAGACCAGGAAGCCCGTGAGCCAAAGACCAATCGGTTCCCTTTCTTTTGCCCGTTATGTCTCTTATTTTTAAAGAACTCTAAGAAAGAAGCTGTATTGTCCACTCACCATTCCTTCCGGTGCCTTAGCCCCCTGAGAACTGGGAGGTCATTTTTACTCCCAACCTCAGATTATACACCCCCCCACACACACACCTTTTATTCCTGAAGTGTATGAAGCTGCCTTTGGCTATTTCATGAGCTCCATCACCCAGCCCTGATGTTATTAGCGACTGAAAGCTTGTGGGGGTGAGATGCCCTAAAGCAGAGAGGTTCTTTAAGTGTAGTCCCACCCACCAGCAGTCTAAGCATCTCCTGAGAACTTGTTAGAAATGCAAATCAGCCCCACCCCAATGTAATGCGTTCTCCAACAGAATCTGATGCGCAATCAAGTTTGCAAGCCACTGTTCTGTAAATGCCATCTGCTGCTGGCAGCATCAGCATCACCAGGCGCTGGTCACACATGCCCTACCACCTACCTATTGACTCAGAACCTGCATCTTAGCAGGATCCCAGAGGATGTGTGTGCACACGGAAATTGAGAAGGGAGGCTTTAAGCTTCTTTCAGTCTTTGACCCTGGGAGGGGCCGAGTCTGGAAAGTCCATCTGAACCCCTTGGAAGGAGGCTCCAGGTTAGACACGGTGGAGGTGGAGTGATGAGATCAATCCTAAGTGCTACAGGGGTCCAGGGGAACAGACTGTGCCAGGCATTGGACCAAACACCTTACCAGTACAGTACCAGCTGCCATGAAGTCAATTCCAACTCACGGTGACCCCATGGGTGTCAGAGTAGAACTGCCCTCTACAGAGGTTTCAAAGCTGTGATCTTTCAGGAGCAGATCACCAGGCCTTTCTTTTGAGGTGCCTCTGGCTGGAATTCAACTGCCTATCTTTCAGTTAGGAGCTCTGGTAGCATAGTGGCTAAAGCACTTGACTGCTAACCAGAAGGTTGGCGGTTGAAACCCACCAGCCACTCCTCGGAAGGAAGGTTGGGCAATCCTACTTCCATAGTGATACTGCCTCGGAAACCCAAGGAGGGGTTGCTATGAGTCGGGGCCGACTCGACGGCACACAACAACAACAACAACATCTTTCAGTTAGTTAGCGCCTGTGGTGGTTAAGTTTGTGTGTCAACTTAGCTGGGCCTGGTTGAGTGGCTGGGCAGCTGGATGTAGTATTCCCCATGATGAGACTGGTAATCAACTCCACGGTGGAATCTACTGTGAGCAGCTGAGTAGCTGCCTTATGGAATGTGTTCTGCTTCCTGTATATAAGCAGAAGCCTTGGGAAGTGGTCTCTAGCTTATGGCACACTTGAACCCTGCATGTAGCCATGTCGTTGTTCAGCAGTCCGCCATGTTCTGCTGACCTTGGGACTTTCAATGGGCTTGAATTAATGGCCTGTTGTGTGGTTTGGTAACATCGGGACTGTGCCTTTTTACTTGTCAGCCTTGGGCTTGTCAGTCTAAGCAGCAAGTAGCTGTCTGAGTGAAGAAAAGCTTCTAGGTCCAGTGGGCCAGGAGCAGGAGGCAGAGCTGAAGCCCAAGGTTGAAGGGCTTTCACCCAGCCCCTAGAGCCTGGCACTTTGAACTTGGACTTAAAGCCTCCAAACTATAAGAGAATAAAGTCCTGTTTGTTCAAGCCATCCCATTTGTGATATATCCTTGTCAGAGCAGCACTAGGTAACCAGAACAGTACTCAAGCACTTAACCATTTGTGCTACCCTTATCTCCTCACACTAACCCAGCCAGGGGGGTTATAGTATCATGCTCATTTTACAGACCAGAAAACCAAGCACTGAGAAGTTGAGCAAGTTGTCCGAGTTCATTCAGTTCCTCAAAAGCCAGTAATCAAAGGAAGTTTGACTCATGTACTGTTCCAATGAAAAACATGTAGGAAGGGTTTGCAAAGTGCTGTACAAACGAAAGGGACTGTTATGGTTATCTCCTGGGTGGTGTAAGAGGTGACTCTCCCGTCATTTTCATGGTGGGGGAGGGGCACACAGGAAGGAGACATACAGCTTTACGCAGTCAGTTAACAAGGCATGCCACGTGTTCGGTGAATGGTGGGGCTTTAAGAAGTCTTTCGTGTTTCACAGACTAGAAGGCCGTAACTCAAGGCAGGTGTCTTACCCAAAGTTACACACCTGCACACCCAAAGCAGCACCCCAGCCCCCTGCTCCCTCAAAGACTCCATTCCCACCCTGCAATGTGGAGGGTGAAGAGGCGTAAAGGTCTCAGCTGGCCTGGAGGGCTAGGCAGAGGATTTCGCCTGGTGGAGCAGGGCAAGAAAGCCACCCACACTCTCCGCCCAGCTGCCAAGTTGCCGGGGGCCCGGAGGAAACTGTAGAAACCTCTCCAATTTGGAGAGGTTCTGCGTTCCAATTTGGAGCTGGGAGCCTAGCTGGGTCCCTTCTCAACGCTTCCTTCTACTTTTCATTCAATCCCTCTGTATTGCAGTTTCCGTGTCCTCCGCCCCGGCCAGGGAGCAGAGAGACGGTGGGGGTAGGGGGTGGCTCTGAGGCGCCAGGAGGCGCACGGTAAAGCGATTTGTGCATCCTCCCGGGGCCACCTCGCCGCTCCGCGCCCGCCTGGCGCCCAGGCGGGAAGACGAGTGGGCGCACCGCTCTCGACCCGCGACCCCGAGAAGTCAGAGGGCTGCTCCCCTGAAACTCCCGCTGCAGGGCACCAGACGAGCCGGGAGGCTCCTCGCAGCCCCGTTGGGAATGGGGATGTATCGCGGCGCCCGGCCCGAGTGGGCCGCCTGCGGGGCGCGCCCGAGGAGGAGGGAAAGGGGCTGAGTCCCCGGTCCGGGCTGCTTGCCCGGTAGCCTCTGGCTCCCGGCCGAAGAAGCAGGCTCAGACCCCTCCGGAAGGGAGCGTGGGCTGGAGGGGAAGGACGCACAGCCCGGGCCGGGGGTCCCCGAGGAATCCTCCGGCCTTGACCGCCGCCAGCGCCACACCCCCTCCTGGCCGCGGGCCCGGGAGGGGTGGTCACGCAGCGGATGCGCGGCCTTCTCGGAGCCTCCTGGCCCACGGGCCCCAGAGTGAGGCCAGGAAACCCAGGCTGCAGCTTAGACCCCAGGCGGAGTCAGTGGCTCATTTCACAGTTCCCTCCGACCCCAAGGCGCAAAGTGTTCCTACTCTTCTGTGTAACCGAAGTGTCCAGGGGACATGCCCTGAGGTTTGAATCCTGAATCTCTTGCTGGCGACTTTGAGGATGACACTTCACCTCTCTGGGTCTCAGTCACCAATTTCATCAAGAAAATGGGGGAAATAATACACCTACCTCACAGGGTTATTGAGAAGAATGGACAAATTAGTGTGTGGAAAATGCTCTAAAAGTAATTAAAATAAAATAAAACACTGCCACCGAGTCGATTCTGACTCGTAGCAACCTTGTAGGACAGAGTAAAACTGCTCCACAGGCTGTAAGTTCAAACCCACCAGCCACTCCTCAAACGAAGATTTAGCAATCTATATCCGTGGAGATACCACCTGGGAAACCCAAGGAGGGGTCACTATGAGTTGGGAAAGACTCAACGACCATGAGTTTAAATCCAGACTTCCTGCCTCATCTTTTTCCCACGAGTGGCTGGTGGGTTCACACCACCAACTGGAGTGATTAACCACTGTACCACCAGAGCACCTTAAAAATCACAAATTGCTGGATAAATATACAGTAGTCTTCCAATTAAGGAGCTCTAGTGGTATAGCGAATAAGGCATTTGGCTGCTAACCAAAAAGTCTGCGGTTCGAACCCACCAGCTGCTTCTGGGAGGAATGATAATGCAGTCTGTTTCCGTAAAGATTTACAGGCTTGGAAACCCAGTGGAGGTCCCTATGACTCAGAATCAACTGGATGCCAGTGGGTTGGGTTGGGTTGGGTTAGCATTGTTATGGAGTCCCTGGGTTAAGGCAGTTTGGCTGCTAACCAAAGGATTGGTGATTGATGGTTCAAGTCCACCCAGAGGTATCTGGGAAGAAAGACTTGGCTATCTACTTCCGAAATCCCAGCCTTTGGAAACCTTATGGAGCACAGCTGTGCTCTCACAATGGGGTCCATCCAGGTTGAGCCTTAATTAATTCCATAGCAACTGGTTAGCATTGTCACGTTCATCTATGTTATTAATAGTTCCCACCCTAGGGATGAAGCTGCTTTTTTTCTCACCCTTGCATCTAGCCCCTAGTACCTTCCGTACCTGGCTGGTAGGAGGCCCTCGGTAAATATTTGCCAGGTCTCTTCAGTTCACAGAGGAGGTATCAGCCGTAGAGAGGCCAGGAACTTGCCCAGTGTGCCCAGCAGCTTTTAGGTGGCAGAGCTGGGATTCAAATCTAGGTTACCTAACTCTAGAGCAGTAGCTCTCAACCCTGGAGTCAGTTTCTGCCATCTTCATCTGGCTGGATGGTCCTGGACAATGGAGGCTCTGCCTGACTCCTCTTCCAGGGCTCCTGGGAGCGTCAGCTTGGGTTTCAGCCCACACTCACCTTCCCCTTTACTCAGGCTTGCCTAGGAATACACATGTGCCCCATGGAGTTCCCCACAAACAACCCCCCTCTCACACGCACAGTTCTGCAAGTATCTTTCCAGAGAGAAGAGAAAGGGAGAGAACTCCCCTTGAAGCTGATCTTCTTGGTCTGGCTATGTGGGCCTCTGACCACTGTCAAACAAGACCAGCCCCCCTGGCCACCCACCTCTCCCATCTCTTAGCCTTCGCTTGCTACTTATTCTGATTTAGGATGGGAATGAAGAGGACATAGAAAAAAGCCTGAACTTTGGGGCCACGCCCATGCATGGGTGTGGGTGGGTGGGTGGGTGAGGGGTACTGATGCCAGGAGGACACTGATCTCTCATCAACTTCTGAGAGAGGAAAAACTCTCATCACTGTTAGAAACGATAAAAGGGCCAAAAGTCCCGGAAGCTAGCTGTGAATGCACTGGAGTGCAAGTT